GACCGGGAGAGAAAAACCCGATATAAAGTGGGCGAACACCACCTGTGAGAGCGAGGGCGACCGAGTTGTGGCGGGAGGGGGGAGGGGGGAGGGGGGGAAGTGGGGAAGGAGAAGACACTTGACTTTTCCTGCTGTATTTGCGATCAGAATGGACACCTCGCGCATCGACCGTAATGTCAAGGGTCTGTCTGAGAAGCTTCTCCAGGGATGGGTCCTCATGTCCGACTCGTGCCCACTGTCTGGCTGCAATGTATGTGTCTTCGTGAAGGGAGTGGCTGGGGGGAGGAGGGGAGGAGGGGGGGAGGGGGGGGGGAGGGGGGGGAAGCTGTCATCGGCTCACACACCATCACACACACTCAATGCTCACATACTATGCCTCATGCGGACGTTGGGCGGTGGGTGATGGGCGGGTTGTGGACGATGTAGGTCCCGCTGGTGAGCAACAAGGACGGGAGGGCGTTCTGCATCAACTGCGACAAGTTTGTCGAGGGGGACAAGGCCGAGGCCGGGTCGGGCTCGGGTTCGGCGCCGCAGGCTGTGTCTACGCCGGTGGCTCCGCGATCGCAGGCAGGCGGAGGTGTGGGATCAGCGGTGCCGTCGCCGCAGCTGTCAGACATCAAGAAGCCGAGCACAGCAGCGGCTGGAAAGGGGAGTGCCGAGGTAGCGCGCAAGCCCGAGGCGCTGTTTGGCGACGACGCCTGGTCGCCGCCGTCCGAGGAGGAGATGATGGTGTTGCGGAAGAAGCGCGAGAAAGCTGATCAAGCGTCGCAAGAGATCGCATCGCGCCTGCTCAATGGATGGTCGCTGCTCAACGAGCACTGCCCCAACCCCGAGTGCTCGGTCCCGCTTGTCGGCAACAAGGAGAAGGAGATGTACTGCGTTTCGTGCCACAACTGGGTCATCCATGAGTCGCAGTATAACCCGGTGACCCACTCGCCCATGCGGCCGATTGCGGACGGAGCGAGCACGTCGTCGTCTGCGCCTGCGTCTGCGCCTGCGCCTGCGCCTGCGCCTGCGCCTGCGCCCGCGCCCGCGCCTGTGGTCGAACCGGTTAAGGCCAAGGCAGCGCCTACGGTGATTTCTCGGCCGGCTGGCGCATCGCGCGAGGACTTTTACAACCAGATCCTTGCGTCGGCGTCAGCATCAGCACCGGCACCGGCACCGGCACCGGCACCGGCGCCGAGCTCATCAGCATCGGCGTCATCGGCGCCCGTGCCGGTGGCGAGGACCACACCGTCGCAGACCCTTGCTTCGTCAGCAGCAGCAGCCGGCTCTGAGGCCGGAACTGTTGACGAGCTCCGTGCCGAGCTCTTTGCACAGCTCACCCACGCCCGGGCTTCGCTGAGCTCGCCGTCCGCCTCTGTCGCCCAGCGGCGGGAGCAGCTTACCTTTATCCGTGAGATCCTTGACACCATTGTCGCCGTCGATGCTGTCTCGGCCACCCTTTAGTAAGACGCAACTCTCCCTTAGCACTCTTGAAGCTGGACTCTGCGACTGGCGTCTGTGCGCGACAGCAGTGGCGGTGGGGGCTTTGGGCCCGGGCTGGGTACTCTCGCGGTGGGCCGGCGGCCAGTCTGAGCGATAGCCTTCCACTGGCCGGCCGGCCGCGGGCGACATTAGCCGAGCCAGCGCCTTTGACCACGCAACTCGTCCTCGTCAAGACACACAGCAATGTCACTGCAGGACTTGCTGGGAGGCATGCTGGGCGGCATGGGCGGCATGGGCCAGGCCCCGGTACGGGTGAGATGGAGTGTGAGGCGAAGAGGGAGCGAGCGTGGAGGCGAGTGAGCGGAGGTCGAGTGCGACCTTCTGCCAAGCCAAAAAACAGGTCGCCGACATGGCGGTGCGGATGGGCACAGGAAGCGTGCATGTGTGTGTATGTGGGCAATGATGGACAGAGTGAAGATGGTGGTGTGTGTGGTTGGTACTTATGGTGGTGGTATGGACGGTGTGTGTGTTTGTGTGCGTGTGTGTGTGTGTGTGTCGTGGTCTGGGGCGGTCGGCTGGGTGGGCGCGGGTTGGCGCGACTTCCTCGACATGACGGGGCTTGGGCTACGGCGACGGATGGATTGGCATGCATGCTGAGAACAGTCACCGGATGCACCTGTGGTGGACACCTCTGAGATGGTGTACATCTCTTCGCTGCCGCTGCTGAAGATGCTGAAGCACGGGCGGGCTGGGGTGCCGATGGAGGTCATGGGCCTCATGCTCGGCGAGTTTATCGACGAGTACACGGTGCGGGTCATCGACGTGTTTGCGATGCCGCAGAGCGGGACCGGAGTGTCTGTGGAGGCTGTGGATCCTGTGTTCCAGACCAACATGCTGGACATGTTGAAGCAGACCGGGCGTGCCGAGATGGTGGTCGGATGGTACCACTCGCACCCTGGTTTTGGATGCTGGCTCTCGGGAGTGGATGTCAACACTCAAAAGTCGTTCGAGGCGCTCAACCCGCGAGCAGTGGCGGTAGTGGTCGATCCCATCCAGTCTGTCAAGGGCAAGGTCGTCATCGACGCCTTTCGCACCATCTCGCCGCAGTCGGTCATGCTCGGGCAGGAGCCGCGGCAGACGACGTCCAACGTGGGCCACCTGCACAAGCCGTCGATCCAGGCCCTCATCCACGGACTCAATCGGGCGTACTACTCGATCGCCATCTCGTATCGCAAGAACGAGCTCGAGCAGAAGATGCTCGCCAACCTGCACAAGCGCCGCTGGCTTGAGGGCCTCTCGGTCGTCGACTTTGAGAAGCACACCAAGTCGAATGAGGAGACGCTGGCCTCGATGGCTGCCCTTGCTGCAAAGTACAACAAGGACGTCCAGGCCGAGGAGGGCCTGACTCCGGCAGAGCTCTCGATTGCTCACGTCGGCAAGGTCAACGCCAAGAAGCACCTCGAGGGTGCGGTGGAGGACCTCATGGCCGCCAACATTGTCCAGACCCTCGGCATCATGCTTGACGTTGTCGTCTTTTAGCCAGCCACAGCAGTGAAGGATGCTTTAGTGTGTGTGCGAGCTGCGAGCGCTCACGAAACTCGCGGCGGCGGATCGGTCGAGTCTGGGGTGCGGACGTTGACGCAGAAGCCGTCCGGCGGGCGCTCGTCAATGCGACGGAGCTTAAGGACGTGGCCGTTGACGTAACGCTCAACCTCTGCATCGTCCAGCTTGGCGCGATAGGCGCCATCGCGAGCAACCCGGGTGCAGGCCTTGAAGGCAGCCCACTCTGCCGAGCAGTCGACAAAGGAGCCGGTCCGGTAGTAGGTGGTAAAGTAGTTACCCGGTGCGTAGCATGCCCACAGCCGATTAAGCGAAGCAGTGCACGAACGCGTCTCCTCCGACGTGGCCACATCCGGATAGAGCTCTGCTGGCCGGGCTGATGCCGGCAGTCGTGTTCGGCTCCTCCGTCCCCGCCTTGCCGCGTCGTCCACGGGCGCCTCGCTCACGTCTGTGTACTGCTGCGGAATGGGCCCAGCTTGAGGTGCGGCCATGGTATTACGTGTATGTATGTATGTATGTGTGTGTGTATTTGTGTGTGTGGTGGGTGGGGGGTGGGGGGGTGGGGGGTGGCGGGTGGGGGTGGGGGTGGGTAGGAGGAGTGTGTGGTCTGGGAAGGGGGCGTACCCCGTCTTGGGCTGCGACGGCTGCTGCTGGTTCGTCGCGGTGTCATCTTGGCTGCCTCTCGATCTCGATCTCGATGGGAACGGGCCAATAGCGGCAGGGCAGGGGATGACTTCTGGGCAAATAATAGGATCAGGATCATGGGATGGATGATGTCGGGTGTGGTGGTACCTTGTCCATGGTATCCCCGATCGACTTGATCTACATCCGCTTCCCGCGCCCTCCCCAACGGCAAACACCTTTCCTAGCTTCCATCCCTTGCGATGGCGATCTAGGCTTGGATGCTGCCTCACTGACTACTCCTTGATGGCAATCCGTCGCTCCATCTCAACAGCTGCTGTTTTCTGCTGCTTACTCCTGCTGCCGCTGTCGCCTGGCTGTTGTTGCTGCTGCCGTCGCCTGGCGGCTGCTGCCAGGGGAACGTTTGCGAGTCAGCGGGCTGCTGCTGCCACCCGCACCTGCATCACCTTCGGTGGCATACCTGCCCACGGCCACCACCTCCCGTCCACGTTCATCGCCACTCGACTCCACTCTACTTCCCCTCTCCGCACCACCCTCCCACCTACTTCCCCTCCCTACCTACCTCCCCACCCACCCACGTGTTCTCCGTGGGGCGGAGCAAATCGGAGCATATCGGTAGCCACCATTACCTGCCGAGGGACTCTTCCTCGCACTCCAGCACCCGCTCACCACCACCACCACCACCATACACAATCCCATACCATACGTACATATAGATGCCTGATCCGTTGTCAAGAGAATGCTCAGGATCGGGCTCAGGATCACCCAGGACTGGCGGGAATGGGTCGGCTGGATCAGGCGGGCGTGCCGCACCTCGCTCTCCGGTGCCTGATGCCGGCGTGGCAGATGCCGACGGTCGTGGGGTGGGTCAAGTTGATGCTGAAGATGGAGATCTGTCGGTAGACGAGTATCCACTCCATGTTCATGCCTACCACAACAATGTTAGAGCTCTTACTGATGGGCTGGTGGCGGCCTTGGCAGACGCCGCCGGCAGCGCAGGCATTGACGACGGCATGCTCGATGACGCTCGAGCCGGGCTTGCCGAACTGGCTGGGCCGCAAGAGCCAGTGCGAGCCACCCTGGCTGCGCGTGCTCTCCTACGCAAAGATGCTCGGGGGAGGACGCCGCTGATGTGGGCAGCAATCGGCAATGCGCCGGATGCCATGGCTGTTCTCCTTCGTTCCGTCCCAGTCTACCCCGTGCCGGTTCCGGGCGGCTCACCAGAGTATGCGCCGGGCCTGTGGTCATCGTCGTCGGGCGGTATCGGCGATGTTTGGACTGCCGCCGATGATAACGGATACACTACGCTTCATTGGGCGGCGATCCGCGGCGTCGACGACGTTCTCCCGCTGCTCGTCCCGTCACCCGAGCCGGCCGAACCTCAGCCTGCGGTATTTGCCGGCCCGCGGCTGGACGTTCTGCTCGAGGACTCGGTTGCATTTGGCCACGTTGAAGATCGTGGCACCTTTGCCCACTTTCTGGCCCGCGAGGACCTCGCTCCTGCGCTGGCACACGTTCTCGGCGTGGCGGCTGCCCGCCCGCCACCGGACCACCTCCTCACCAACATCCTTGCCACGCGCGACGTTGTAGGGCGAACACCGCTCGGTACTGCCGCGGCCTACGGCGCCACGGCCGCAATCGAGGTCATACTCGACCATGCTGGTGCACTGGAGCTGGACGAGCCCGATGCTGTCGGCCGCACGCCGCTGATGTGGGCTGGAGCGGGCGGCCATGTCGCCGCGTTCACAGCGCTTGTTCGCGCTGGCGCCTTGCTCTCACACCCAGATGCCCAAGGCAACACACCGTTGCACTACATAGCAATGCAGGGCGCTGTGGCCTGTATCAACGCCGTGTCCGCCGCACTCGCACCCGAGGCCGATGCTCGTCACGGCACCTCTTTGCCTCCGCATATTGTCAACGTGACGGATAGCAAGGACCGGACGCCACTGTTTTGGGCGGTCAACGGCAAGCAACTTGGCGCGGTGACAGCGCTTCTCGATGCCGGCGCAGATGTGTCGGCAGTCGACTCGCGTGGGCGGACAGCACTCCACTGGGCGGCCTATGCACAGTACGGTGCAGTGACCAAGGCGCTCTTGACGGCCGGCGCGGATCCTGGCGTCTCTGACGCGCTTGGGCGGACGCCGCTTTTCCACGCCGCCCATGTCGGCGACGCTGTCTTTCTGCGTACCTGCATCCGGTTTGTCGCCGTGCCGACAAAGATCGCCTTGGTTGCTGACGGTTCGGGCCGCCAGGCGCTGCACATGGCGGCCGCTGCTGGGCACGTCAACGCGCTGCGGATCCTGCATCGCCTCGGGGCGGTTCCACTCGACGCGCCCGACGTGCATGGAGTGACTCCGTTGCACCTTGCGGCATACACCGGAACCATCGCCGCGCTGCGGTATCTGGTCCAGGCCGGGGCACTGGTCGATGTCCGCGATGCGAGCGGGCGGACGCCGCTACACTGGGCGGCTGCCTCCGGCTCGATACCCGCGGTCTACGTCTTACTCAGCCTTGGTGCACCGCGTGACGCACCCGATACCTCGGGCGCGCTACCATGCCACTACGCGTCCGCGATATCTGCTGACGACGTCTCTGCTGCGCTCGAGGTACCCGGCTGGCCAATGCCGGCACACTTGCCGGTTCTTCCAGCCCAGCTCGTCGTCGAGCTCCGCCGCGATCCGGCGGTTCCGCGCGAGAGAGTAGACCCGCCACCAGCCGCAATGGCGCGGCCTGATGTTGCGACATCACCGATTGCAAGCGCGTCGCCCAGCGGTGGGCGTAAGTTGGTGTCGCGGACCTCCCTGCCGCTGCTCTCCGTGCCGTCGCCACCCGGGGCGCCAGCTGCGGGACGAGCCCACGGCATCCGTTCGCATATGCCGCGCAACTTTTCGTTTGCAACCTCGCTGTCATCGACGTCACCAGATACAGCGTCGGCGGTCTCCTCGCCGGAACACGCCCTCCCACCGGCTCGTTATCGCGGCTCGCAGATTGTCACCAAAGTTGCGGGACCGCCGGGCTGGCCGATCCATCGCGTCTCGGTCGGCGTCCATGCCGCACCGACAACTCGATCGGTCGGCATCCAGCACGACGGTGACTTGCTTGCTCACCCGCCACCCATCCGGCGCATCTGTTCTACAACTACTCGCCCCGTTGGTCCGTCGCCACCACGCAAGCAGCGGCGTCGGCGTTCGACTTCGCCGCGGAAGCGCATCCACATTGCAGTTTATGACCCGCGGCTCGAGGCCCATCGCTCGGATGCAGTGCCCGCATCGTCTCATTTGCCGGCCCAGCCCTCAGCTCCTACTCGCCATCCATGGCCACAGGTGTCGAGCCACAAAGCCCGTCGATCGCTCCGCTCCCGCGCCCCCTCACACTCGCGGTACAAGCGTCCGTCCCCGCGATCCGACGCGGTCCTCGGTCTGCCGTCCAACCCGTCCCGAACCCGACCGGCGTCGACCACCGTCTCCTTCGCCGACCAGCCACGCCATCGCACCCACCGTCGGAGACGCAGCGATCATCTCTGGCGCTAGCAACGCCATCCGGTGCTGACACGTACCCAATCCATACCATTAACAAAACGATCTCCGACGAGAGGCGTGCCAATCAGAGCACGCCCGTCAGCCGTTTTCGCCCGTTGTGGCACCAGCCCGGCACGACCAGGGCACGACCAGCGGACCACCACCCCACCCCTACACCCCCCCCCCCTCCACACACACACACACACACGCAACGATGGGCAACGAACTGAGCAAGGAGATCAAGCGGTCCAAGCTGACCAAGCAGCTCAACCTTGGGTACCGCGAGCTCGACTCGGTGCCCAAGAAGGTGCTCAAGGCCGTCCACTTGGAGGAGCTTGTCCTCTCAGGCAACCTCCTTGGCGGCTTCCCCATCGGTCTGGTCGCCCTGGTCAACCTGCGGGTCCTCGACGTTGCCGGTATGCATGGCCCTTTGCCCCTATTACGCCTCCTCTCTTCGGCCCCCGCCTTCCTCTTCCTCCCCGTTTCGGCGACATGCTGCCCCCCCTTTTCCGTGCATGCATTCCAAAGTCTTTGCAACTTGCAACAGCCCCACCCCCCTCTCCCCTGCTTCCTCCCTTCCACGCCCACGCAGCCACCCACTCACGCACGCTCGCTGCTTATTGCGGTTCCAGGTAACGGCATCGAGCAGTTGCCGCCCGAGATCAAGGCGCTGTCCGGGCTGGAGACGGTCAACTTTGGCTTTAACAAGCTCGAGGTGCTCCCGGCGGAGATCGGAAACATGAAGAACCTGACCCACCTCGACGTCTCGCACAACCAGCTGGTGGAGATCCCGCCCGAAGTTGGATGGCTTCCCAACATTACCTCGCTCGACCTCTCCGACAACCTGTTGCAGGATTTGCCACCGTCGCTGGCCGATCTGACCAAGCTGGAGAAGCTCAACATCCTGCACAACCAGTTCAGCTTCCTCCCGTTGGTCCTCTGTCGCATCGCGCCCATGGAGACGCTCGACATGTCCGAGGGCGTCATCACGACTCTCAACGAAGAGTGTCTCTCGCAGCTGACAAACTTCCGTGTCCTCAACCTCTCGCACAACAAGATTACCTCACTGCCAGAGGAGGCTACCGTCGCCCTCTGGGCCCTTCGTGACATCAACCTCTCCCACAACCCCATCGAGGACTGGCCCACAAAGGTCCGCCAGATGTCCAACATCACCTTCAACTGGACTTCGCTCGCCTGAGTCGAAGCCCTCACCCATCCGTATCCCCCCAAGCAAAAGCAGCAACAGTTCTCCCTGCTCGTCATTCACTTGGTCAGCTCTACCAGCTGCGCCTGCAGTCGCCCGATCTGGTCCTCGTACGCGCGTCGCTCTTCGCCCATCTGCTCCTGCATGCCAGCGAGATGGAGCTTCTGCGTCTGCAGCGTGTCCAGCAGCCCGGCCAGCCGGCTCTCCTCGAGCTCGACCAGCCCGGCTTCGCGCTTGGACTCGGCCTCTGCGCTCACAGCCAGCTTCGACTGCGCCGTACCGTAGCAGCCCACCAGCCGCCAAAGCTCCATCACCAGGGCGCTTGCTTCGACGCTGCCGGCATCCTTGCCGCGGATCATGCCCATGACCCGAGCGGCCAGCTCGCGCACTCGCGAGCCACGGCCGTTGTTCTCGCCAAGCGCGGCAAGCCGCGGCGGCGCGCACGCTGCCACAATCTTGTCCACCACCCGGACCAGCGCCTCTTCCAGCACTCGCACATGCTTCGAGACCTTGCGCACCGAGCGGGCATGCTTGTCGCTCTCGGAGACAACCGTCAGCGGCGCCAGCGAGTTCTCCAGCTCGGCGTGGAGCGCATGCAGTGCAGCCTTGGTCTCGTTCTCTTTGGACTTGAGATCGGTGACCAGCCGGTGCCGCGCCTCTAGCCTCGTTCGGACTTGCGCCAGCTGTGCTTTGAGCTCGTCGACTTCGGCCTCGAGCTCTGGCACTCGTGCACCTTGGTCCGCAGCCTTGCGCGCCCGCTCCATCGCCTCGGTCGCGGCCTTGCCCTTGCGTGCCACTGCTGCACGGGCGGTCCGTGTCCGCGCCTCGGCCTCGTCTGCCCGCGCCTCGGCAGCCTCGGCGCGCTGCTTTGCCGCCACTGCCGATTGCTGTGCACTAGACTTGGCGGCCTCGGCGTCCCGCAGCCGCGCTGCTAGTCCGCGCATCTTGGCCTTGATCTCGTTGACCGCCCGGCCTGCTTCTTGTTGTGCCGCTGCCACTGCCGCCCGCGCTTCCGCCGCGTCCGCCTCTGCGGCCTTGACCGCCTCCCGCAGCTGGGGGGCTTCTTGTGCTACACTCCGGAGCTTGGCATGCTCGGCCCGGATCTGAGCCATCTCGCTCTCAACCCTGCTCTGCTGGTCAGCGCAAGCATCCAGTTCCCCGGCGAGCTCACTCAGCTTGACGTCCTTGGCCGCCAGCAGCTCCCCCCGCGTCTGCAGCTCAATGGTGAGATTCTCCACCTGCGACGCCAGCACGACCACGTCTGCACCCTCGCCCACTTTGCCCTGAGATGGCTCGGCCAGAGACGCTTCCATCCGCAGCACTGCAATCGTTGCATCGCGGGCGGCCACTTCTTCCAGCAAGTCGGCCACCCGCAGGACAACAGGAGCGAGCGTCTTGTATCCGGGCTCGGCACCGCCGCCGACGCCAAACGTATCGGTCGCCTCTCGCACACCCGCCGCAGGTACAATGTCGACTGAGAACACCGAGCTCGCACTCTCATCGCCTGCCGAGTACGACATCTCGCTCTCGGCCTCATCGCCGGCGCCGGGATTGACCACTAAAGCCGCCGACGCGCCGCGTTTCAGCAGCGCCACCATCTGCGACCGCATTCGCGTCACTGTACCCTCCAGAACCGCCGCACGATGCTTTGCACTCGCAAGCGCCTCTGCAGCTTCGCCCTCGGTCTTGGCATGCACACTCCGCAGCCGTGCCATAGTCCGATTTGTCTGGTCGTGGAACGCCCTGTACGACTCTTGAACCTCGCTAAGTTCGCCCTCCAGCGCCGAAATCCTCTCCATCAGCTCACCCTCCCGCAGCGCAAGCGTCCGGCTCGTCGCGGCCTCCATGGTCTCGAGCTCTGCCCGTGCCTCGACCAGCTGGCGCTCGAGCTTCTGGCCCTTGACCTGCTCTTCGGCCGCCAGTTGGCGGACTTGCTCGACCTCGTCGCGCAGAGATTCCGCTGCTTCTAACGCCTCATCGAGCGAGGTCGCCGTCGCTGCATGCGCGGCTGTCTCGGCCTCCACCAACTGACCTAGCTCCATGATCTGTGCCCGCTGCTCCGCCACTTGAACCTCGAGCGCCTCGCGCTTTTCCACCTGCTCTGTGGTCGCTGCAGTTGCGGCAGCCACCTTGGCTTCGATCTCAGCCGCCACAGAGTCATCAAGGTCAGCCACTTCCCACTCGGCCTTGTCGCTGCTGCTTCCGCCACATGCGGCCAGAAGTCGAACGAGCTGGAGGCGCACATGCTCTGCCTCTCGCCGGGCATCACCCGCGGTTAGAGTCGCAGCTTCCGCAGCAGTCTCAGCCTCGACGCGCGCAGTGTCGGACGCCTCGGCTGCAGTAGTCAGTTCCTGGATTTGACTCTGTAGACCAGCCACCTCGAGCGCACGCGCCTCGCGCTCTGACTCAAGCTCGCTTTCCAGCCTCTGGTGCGCAGCCGAGGTCGGCAGCTCTTCCCGCAGCGCCGCCTCGAGGGACTCGAGCTCGGCACCGAGCCGGCGCTCAGCAGCAGCTGCGGCCTTGTTCGCGGCGGCCGTGGCATCGGCGCGCACAGCTTGAGTCTCCGCCGACGCATCGGCAGCAACAGCCTCGGCGGCGGCGCGGGCCTCGACCGCGGCCTCAAGCTCGGCCCGGACCCGCTCGTTGGCATGCGCCATGTCGCGAGCTTCCAACTGCGCCGCCGTGCTCTCGGCACGCGCCGCTTCGAGCTGGGCACCCAGCTCAGATGCCAGCTGTGCGTTGCGGGTCTCAGCGGCCTCAGCCCGGTCGACCGCGCGTGCAGCCTCGGCCCGCGCCGCAGCCAGCTTGTCCTGTAGTGCCTCGACTTGACCCTCAAGCGACGCCTTTGCGTTCTTTGCCGCATCGAGTCGCGATGAGAGCCGATCCGCATGCCGCGCCGCGTCGCGGTCGGCCTCCTTGGCCCGCGCCTCCACCTTGGCCAGCTCCTTGGCATGTGTGTCGGCAGCTCGCTTTGCAGCCGCCGCGTTCTCGGTTCTCAGGCGCTCAATCCGGTCTTGGAAGCCCTTGGAGGCCTTGGAGTGTTTGGCAGTGGCAGCCTCTAGCTCGGCCCGAACATGCTTGATACGGGCGTTGGCTGCAGCCTTGAACTTGGCCACGCTCTCCTCGGCCTTGGCCGCCTTTTCATGGGCCTCACTCGCCGCCTGAATGGCCTTGGTCCGCTCTTCGCGCGTCTCATCGAGCTCGACCTCCAGCTTGGCAACCTGGTCTGCAGCGGCGGCTGCAGCGGCGCGGGCATTCTCGGCGTCAGCCGTGGCGACCGCCGACTCGGCTATGGCCTTGTCGAGCGACGCTGCCATGGCCTCGACTCTGGCCACTACAGACGTCCGCGAGCCAAGCGCAGCGTTCAGAACGCTGTCGGCCGCGCCAGTTGCGGCCGGTGCAGCGAGCGCATCGGCTTCCAGCCGTGTGATTTTGAGCTTGAGTAAGTTGATCTCGGCGTCAGCAGCTTCGCGGACATGCTGAACTTCAGCATTGTCAAGAAATGCCCGCTTGCTTGGCGACGCCGACCGGCTCCGCTTGCTTGTCGAGCTGACAGCCTTTTTGAGCTGCGCTACACGCTCATCGCGAGTACGCAACTTGGATCGCAAGTTCATCTCGTCACGGGAGGCGATCTTGAGCTTTCGCTTGAGTGTGGCTGACTTGGTGCGGGCTGCTACCAGCGCCGCCGCTAGCGCGCCACACCGCAGCCCGTCTCCACCCGCGACGTCATCTGATCGCGCGGCAGCAACGTCCTCAACGATTGACGCCAACGCACTCTTGGCGTCTGCCAGTGCATCGTCAACTTCGGCACGCTCAACCTGGCTGAGCGCAAGCTGCTCGCGCAATGCGCCCAGTGCCTGCTGCGTCTGAGCATCGTTGGAGGTCGCCTGTGAGACGGCGCGGCGGAGCTCGCGGAGCTCGTTGCCGGCCGCCATCAGCTCATCCTCCCGTGACGCAATGACGGCATTGAGATGGTCAACCTGCTCGCGCAGGGAGCGAACCAGGTCGTCGACGGCGGCCGATGCAGCGACAGTCGCTGGACTGGACGTTCCCTTGTCGTCGGCTGCCGGCGATACCGGCTCGCTGCCACGCGGTGAGCTGCTGTCGTTGCCGGTCTTGCCGAGGTAAGTCGGATCAAGGAGTGTAAACTCAGTGAGGGCCGCAAGCGATGCCAGTGAAGTCGTCTCGTGTCCACCGGCCGACTCGTTCGGCTGCAGCAACTCAGCATCGAGGTGGAGTCTTGTCCGTGCCAGCGCGGACTGGGTGTGTGCTAGCTCGGCGCGGACGGCCGCAAGAGCCTCGGACGTCTCGTCCAGATATTGGTATGCCTGGGCAAGGAGCCGCGGGCGTAGCGCAAGCGGACTAGCGTCCATGGCCACCTGGCCCACAAGTAGCGAGTAGAGGTGGCGGACGCGTGCTGAGAGAAGCTCGACGTGAGCAGCACTCGGGTTCACCTCAGCAGCAAGGCCGCTCATGTGGCGCACGAGTGTCGCATCCGGCGGCGCCAGCCACGGAGCCAGCGCACTGCTTGGCTCAACCGCCCCTACCCGCTCTTCCAGCACTGCCTCAAGCGAGTACGCCCACTTGGAACTTCGCTCCAAGGCAGTTTCTAGCTCGGCAAGCCGCTCCAAAAGCAGCGACCGCTGTCGAGACGCTGCGTTGACCGAGAGCGCATCCTGTAGCTCGATGCGCGACTTGAGCGCCGCAAGCGTTGCGTTGGCCACCGAGGCATCCGCCAGCGCATGCTGTGCCTGCTCTTCGGCCCGGGTCTGCGACGCCAGGGCAGTAGCTAGCGCTTGTGCCATTTGGCTTGCCCGCGCCCGCTCCATGGCAAGGTCACGATCAACGCGCGCAAACGCCGCTAGAAGCCGCGACATCTGGTTGGGCGTCGAGTGCGACCGCGCTTCGAGCGCTCCAACTGCGCGCAGGTGCGAGGTGAGTTCGGCACGGCGCGCGGTCTCAGCCTCAGCAGACTCGCAAGCCACGTCTACAACCGAGTTCTTGTTCTCGAGCGCAGCAAGAGTACCCGAGACTGCTGTCTTGATGTGCGCCACAGAGTCCGTGTACGACACACGCAAGCCATCCAGTGACTCACGCAATGCCGCGTTCTCGGCCGCCGCCATAGCCAGCCGCCGTTCCGCTCGCTGAAGCGCTTGCGAGTTGAGCTCAGCATCGTCGCGTGCGGCATCCAGCACTTCCTGCGCAGACGACGAGCGGACAGAGGTGCGCGCTGTCGCGGGCGAGCGCGAGCCAAGACCAGCACAGGCAGAGGCCCGGGCGTGTGCCTCAAGCACGGCCGCGCTCAGAGCAACGATGCGTTCCGACTCGGGCAATGCGCGACCAGCAAGCGCCTCCTGTTGAGCCATACACACTGCGCGAAGCTCGGCGACCTCGCGGGCCAGCGCAGCATCAACAACTGGGCGCGAGGGACTGCACCCGCCATCGCGCGCAGCTGCAGCGGCGAGAGCGCGAGCGCGCGCGGCTGCGCCCTCGTACTTGCGGACCATGTCAAGCGTCACCATGTTGGCAGCCTTAACCGCCTCAAATTGGGCAGTCTCTAGCCGGAGCAACTCGTTAGCGTGCGCCGCCCGTGCGTCGTCGAGTGCGCGCTGCGTCTCTTCGGCAAGGCTGCGGAAGTGGACGACCGACGCCTTGAGCTGCGCCTCGCGATTGTCGCGGGTGGCCGTCTCGATGGCAGCAACAAGCGACCGGCCCAGCGCTGACGATGCGGCGACCGACCGGAGCTCGGTATTGCCCGGCACTTCACGCGGCGCTTTCGTCGTGCGCCCGCGACGAGGCACCGGCTTTCCGGACGAGATGCCCTCGAGCAGCTTAGAGAGCTTCTCGTTTTCAGATCGCTGGAGCGCAGCCGCTTCGCGGGCTGCATCGGCATCGGCCTCGGCGGTGGCAAGCCGTAGCTTGAGCTCGGCCAGTTCTGCGTGAGCAGGCGCCTTGTCGCGAAGCCGACGCAATGTTGCGGCAAGGTGGTTTCGGGCAATTGCGCCGCGCTCAGCTGTAAACTTGAGCTCAGACTCGAGCTTGCGCATCGACGACGCCATTTCAAACCGCACAGCCTTGAGTGTCGTTTCGAGTTCGGAAGCCCGTCCCTCGTAATAGACTAGCCGGTCACGGAGTGCATCGGCGACGACGGCGTCCTCGCCAGAAAAGCGGTCAGTGGAGGCCACGGATGCAGGCCCAGGCGATGACTCTCGGCGACGTGTGCCTCGGGACGTGGCCCTGGACACCAGCGCCTTTCGCTTGGCTGTCCGCAGCTGTGCGGTGAGCGAGTCAATGCGAGCAAACAGCGTCTTCTCCATCGGCGACGCCGCAGAACGGATGGCATCTAGCTCAGACAGGGCGGCATCGCGTTCGGCAAAAGCGTCGGCAGCGGCGTCTTCGGCAGCGGAGACTCGAGCCTGTGCCTCGCTCAGCTTGTCGGTGAGGAGTGCTATGCGGGCCGAAGCACGTGCGTCAGACCCCGATCGTGGCGGGGAGCGAGAGCCCCGATGTGGCAAGTCTGCAGCAGCACGGGCAGCGTCACGTTCGGCCCGAAGGGCAGAAACTTGGGCAGCATGTCGCCGCTCAAGATCTTGGACTGTGTCCGAGTACTCGGCTATCTGCGCCGCCGAACGAGTACGTAGGGCCTCGAGCTCTGCAACGTTGGTCTCGTACTCGGCCTCTAGTGCCGCGAGTCGCGCCTTGGCGGTTGCACCATCAGCAGCTGCGCCACGGACATCAGCGAGCTCGGCCTTGGCCTGAGCCAATGCAGCTGCGAGCGAGTCGCGCGAAGCCAGCGTCGACTCGACATAAGCATTCATCGACGTGGCTTGTGCATCGAGCGCAGCGCGTGAGCGGGCACTGTCGACCGCGGACGCAGTCCGGGCCGCAAGCTGGGCCTCAAGCGCCGCAATGCGAGCATTGAGCTGATCCTCAGTCTGGGACCACTGGGCGCGCGCACCTTCGAGCGCATTCGTAAACGCATCCTGCGCCTGGGCGAGCTCAGACCGTGCATCGTCGGCCGCCGCCGCCGAGAGCTTGAGCTGCTTCTCCCGAACACGCAGTCGACTGACCTCCATCTCCGCCTGCTCAAGGTCTGCCATGAGGGCCTCGATGCGTGCGTCCTTAAATGCGATGACGTCGAGAACCTTGCGCGAGCGAAGCTCTGCACTCGCGCGCTCCTCCTCCATCCGCAGCTCGACCAGCCGCTCGACGTCCGGCACAGCGGTCGCCATCTCTGCTTTGAGCGGCTCGAGGAACGCCGCCGCCGCCCTTGCCTCGTCGCGCTCGAATCGGGCTTGCCGGACCAGGGACCTCAGCCTCGCGAGCTCGCGGGCGCGATCATCGTCCTCCGTCTGGACCGGGGAATCGCGCGGAGTGCCGTCCTCTCGCCCACCGCCATCGCCGACACCACGCCCAGGCCCAGTGGTGGCGGGTGCTGCAGCAACGTTAGAAGTGTCAGATGCGTGCTGTTGGTACTGACCGAGGCCGCTGCTGGCTCTGGCAGCCGTCCGGCCAGCCAGGAGCTTGTCGAGCCGGGCTGTGGGGGTCAGCGGCAAGCTCCCGGGCGAAACGTCTGTATGGAGAGTGTATGGCTTGGGCGGAGTGCGCGGCTCACTCTCTCCCTCCTCTTGCATGCCTTTCCTTCGGCGGGCGCTAGACATGCTGTGAGAGGTGGCGGTGGCTAAGCTGGTGGCGCTGTGTCGGGAAGACCTGTGTCTTTGGCCGCTCCCTCGCCGTCTTGGCGCGAAACCGGCGGCGACTGGCGACGACTCGCCATTGGAGGCTCGCGCCAAAAATGGGCCATGTCATGGTGTCACCACCGAACCTATAACTCTCCCTTGGCAATGTGAATGTCGTTGTTAGGTTTACTGCCTGCGCCGCCTCCGTGGAGGCTGGCGTGGACGGGCGCCGCTGTCCTCGGACCGGTCGTCGATGGAGCGGCGCAAGAGATCGAGCGAGCGAGCGTCGCGGATATTGTCGCCACTGCTTCGCTGGGCTCCACGACCTCGGGGTCCGCGGCGGGCCCGCCGCCTGGGCGCACGACCGCGGCGCTCTTCCTCGCCATCGCTCTCGTCTTCCTGGAGCGCACGGATGTGGCCAAAGAGGCTTCCGGACGAGGCCGCCGATGCCATCGAGCCCGCTGACGACGGCGGCTGGCTGGTCTCCTCAACTGCGATGTAGTCGGACGGCGGAGGGTTCTGTGCCGGCTGAGCAGCAGGGTAGCCGTGCGACTGGCCGTAGCCTTGCTGGACCGGATAGCCCTGTGGCGGACCGTAGCCCTGCTGGACGGGGTAGGCTTGCTGGGCTGGGTAACCGTGCGGCTGACCGTAGCCTTGCGGCGGCAAATAGCCAGTACCGTAGCCATAAGCCGGGTACGGCCCGCCGGCAACCATCGGCCGGACCGGCGGCTGCGACGGCTGGGCGGTCTCGACGCCAAAGCCGGGATTGGATGCGGCCGGTGGCGACGGCTCGTTGAAGATGTCGGCGTAGGGATTAAACGGTGCATTCGACTGGGCAGTGGCAGCGGCAGCGGCAGCGGCAGCCTCGTCAGCGCGCTGCCGCTCTCGGATCTCGGCCCGAGTCGGGACAGTGACTGACTTTCTGGCGTGGGTCCGCTTCTTGGCCTTGGGCTTGGGCTTTGCATTCCCGCGCGACTCGATGGCATCGTCCTGGTCCTCCTCCTCGTCGTCGGACGACTCGAGAACATGGTGGATGATCGGTGCCTGGGCGACCGAGTGGAGGCGCGACGAGGCAAATAGGTCGAGGTTGCACAGCATGCCGCCAGTCGAGTAAGTCGACGGGAAGATGCAGTAGACGTAGTCCTCCTGCGGCCAGAGCTGCAGGTTGATCGAGATGCGCTTGGTGGTGTGCGGGAAGACCTGCTTGATGACGTGGGCAACGCGAAGGTCGCCGCACAGCAGCGGCGGAATGGTGACGTCGCCCACCTCCTGCGATGGAATGATCGACACGTTGTCCTCCTTCCGCCACAAACACACCAGCAGACAGATCTCCTGCTGGCCGAGCGACGGGTCGGGCGCCACGGCCTCTTCGAGAGTGAGCCCGTCCGGCAGCGGCTCGAACAGCGCGCGCGCCTCTGACAACGGATTGAAGACACCGGCCTGGCGACGGACCTTGATCCGGGCTCGCGCCGACTCGACCGGCTCCAGCACTCCGGCATTGACGTCGCGCCGCGCCACAACTTCGGCCGCGGGCACGTCGATGCCGCCGTAGAGCTCGCCCGGATTGAGCGAGCCAGACTCGAGTGGGACTTGGATTGGCAGGTCTTCGCTGAGCAGCGGCTCGGCAATAAGGGCCTGCTTGACATGGGAGAGGAGCTCGGCGGCGAGTTCAGCCTCGTCGTCCGACGACGAAGAGTCGCCGATGTCGTCATCCGACGCGCCAGGCACCGAGTACCGTAGCAGCGACGACGTGGCGATGGCGCCAAACATGTTGTTGCTGTCGCCCTCGTCATCCGAAAACTGGGTCGTCGAGTCGTCGAGCATGTGGTCGCGAATGCGGGTGCTGGTCTGAGAGCCGTGGCCCTTGGCCGAGGTCTGGACAAGCTCGATGACGACCTGGGTGTTCTGGGCCGTCACATCAAAGATGTACGCAAACGGACGCGTGACGTCGACGTCGCGCCAGCCACAATGGAATGGAAGGGCCCGCTTGGCAAGACTCGACGACTTTGCGGCCTGCGGGGCGACGTCGACAACGTCAATTCGGGTAAAGCCCTCGGGTCCGTAAAAGTCGTTGTACGCCATAAGGAACTCGTTCTGCCGCCCGGCGCGGATGACCTCGGACTTGAGGTTGTACCACGCACCCTCCCACGACCCGTCGCCAAACGAGTTGCGGATCTGCAGCAGCCGGTTGGCACCGACCACCAGCACACCTGTCACCGTGTACGCGTGGTTGACGAGCAAGTTCTGGTCAGTCCGGTACTCGGGGTCAGTGATTGACTCGTCCTCGCGCCAACACGAGATGAGCCGTCCACACAGCGAGTGCCGCAGCAGCGTCTCCCACATCTCGCCCGACGACAACACGTGCTGCATTGTCGTCGACTTGAGCATGTACGACTCGACAGTTCCACCCGTCAGCTGGCGGGCAATGCCGACCTGGACCTCCTCGCGCTCCGCCAACGAGAGCGGCAGCGTGTTGAGGTTGGCGTATCCACCGCGGACCTTGGCCACCGCCTTTTCCAGCAGCGCCACGTACAGCTCGTTCGGGTCGTAGGCCCGCGAGTACAACGGGCCACGGGCGGCAAGCAGCTCGGGGCTGTACCCGTCGTCAGCGTCGACGAGGCTACCGCATGGGACGTAGTCGTCGATGACCACGTAGTGCCACGCCGAGTCGACGCTGACCCGCACCGCGTAGACCCCGACATCGATGTCATAGGCAAGGAAGAGCTTGTGGATGTTCGACTCGTGCGTGGTTAGCATGGAGAGCATGCCCAGCACGTCGTCCGAGCACAGCTCGCCCTTGACCATGTCGACTTTGGCGCGCTTGACGGTCTTGGCGAGAATAGTGGGGTTAGGAATAGCCTCGTGCATCTCACTCAGACGCCGCCACTCGCGCGGGACACCGACACCATCCAGGCCGTGGGCAGGCTTGCTCGGCGACTGCATCCACAGCGCGGCCTCATCGGGCGCAAAATCGGTGTCGACAAACAGCCGACCGTCACGGTTGCACGCGCTCACCAGCCGCGCAATGTGGTCCTCGGCCATCCGCGTCAGCACTGCGAGCGACTCGACAGGCACCGACGAGTTGGCCATGACGCATCGGGCGCACACAAGCTGCGGCCCGAGCGTGGCGTGCTTGGCCCAAAGATGATCGCTCGCAAACGGAACCTGGCCTGGTTCCTTCCACCGGAACCACCAACCCGACTTGTCACCCTCGCACATGAGACACGGCTGAATCGGGACGAGCGTGAGCCAGAGAAGAAGGTCGTTGACCGTCTCGGCGCGCCCATTGAGCGACGTCATGGCCAGCTCCAGCTCGACCTGCGAGTTGAAGCCCACCACCGCCGCCGAACCCGAGAGTTGCGACGAGACATACGCCACGCCGAGACCCTCAAGCCGCTTGTGGATGTAAAACTTGCCGTTCCGCCGAGGAAGGCCGAGAACTACGGCGGCGTGGGGAACAAACGGCTGCCACGCGCACCGCACGCACGCCCGGCGCAGGTGCGCCGCGCACACAGCCGCGGGCGTCGCTTCTGCTGGCCCGACCTCGTTCGACAGCGTCATCTGCACCGTCGACACCATGGCACACGCTGGGCCCAGCGAGGCCTGCAAAACCCGCTGGCCTGGCAGCGAGATGGCAAACTGAGAGTCGGACACCACCGCGCCACAGCACTCGACGACTCTGCCCGAGGCGGTGAGGAGGAGGAACATGTCGTCGCTGCCGTCGTCACGGACCGGTGTGCCGATGATGTCAATAAAGGTGGCGGTGCCGTACTGCACCACCGACACGTCCTCGTAGAGACCCGACTTGGCCGAGGATGGCGACTCATGGTAGACCGTCACCTGCCCATCCTCCCGGAGGCATGCCACTGACTTTCCAGTCACGGCGACCTTGACAAACGCACCCTTGAGCGCAACCGTCCGGTCGCCGACGAGGACCAGGACCTGGGCCGACGCGAGCAAGACGGCGGCAACTTCATCGCCGGCCGCCATCTGCACCACCGAGCCGGTGATCTTGAGCAGTCCCGGTCTGAGGCGCGAGACCTGGACGCCACCCGGGCCTGGTGCCATGTACACATCCCCGTCGGCATTGAGCAAGCTAGAGAGTGTTTCGTCGACGTTGCCGGTGAATCTGGTCTTAGTTGGCAACATGGCGGTCACACACCAGACGCGGCCGAGTGCGTCGTGGATGAGCAGGTGCATGGAGCCAAAGACCACCGATCGCGCCCGGACCTCACGGTGCTCGAGCGCGTGCCCGCGGCCGATGGCCACCAGCCGGAACGGGACTTCGCGCTCCAGCGTAGCGGTAGCGGCAAAGCCAGACGAGGCATCCGAGGCGGCCAAGTTGCCGGCGCGTGCACCAGCCCGTCCGCCTTTTCGTCGTCCGCCCGAGCTAGCGGCGTTGCCGCTCGACGCTCCCGCGCCCGCAGCCTCCAGTGCGTCATACGAGGTCTGCGGCATCGAGCCGGTCAGCGTCTCGTAGAGCAAGACTCGCGCCGGCTGCACCGTGTAGTCGTTGGTGCTGATGTGGCTGTGGCAGCCCCAGTAGAAGACCTCGCCCGAGGTTGTGACGATGGCCAGCGCCGCGTTGGCGCCATCGGCAGTTGACCACGCCACGTCAGCGACGGTATGGAAGCCGCCAAAAAGCGGAATGCGGACCTTGCACGGGACCATGTGAGCAGTGCCCTCGACAAGCGCAGCGAGGACATATCCCTCATGATGAGAGGCTTCAAAGACGGCGGCGAGCGCAGCCCGGTGCCATTCCTCATCGTCCGGCCTGGCGGTGGACCGCTGACCAGGAATCTGCGGCACAAGCTTGGGGTGACCCCACACGTACAGCGAGCCGTCCTCAGTAATAACCGCCCGCGCTGCAATAGTTGCCAAGCCGTCCATCTTTGACGTCGGGCCAACCGCAATCTTGCGCGGCTCGCCACGGTGGAGGCCCTCAACCATCATTGGTAGCACAATGTCGACTGACGAGAGTCCTGACGCGCCGCTAGTGCCGCCGCCGTCACCCGACGGCTCATCGTCAGCAACGCCACCGGTCGGCGACACGCGGACCGAGGTCATGGAGCCTCCGCTCGCCGCTAGCGCGCCGAACGAGCTGGCGCCCTTCACAATACCGACTGGAACACCGAGGCGGGCATCCATGTTAGAGCCCCAGACATAGACTCGACCGGTAGCAGAGACAGCGGCCGAGTGCTCGATGCCTAGCGCGACACCGACAATGTGCTCGGCAACGAGCGCGCCAACTAGCTGCGGGGTGGTGATCGGCTCGCCCTGGCTGATGACCAGCCCGAGCTTGCCCGAGTTCTTGTCGCCCCAGGTGTAGAGCCGACCCTCGGTGTCCAGCGCTGCCGAGTGATAGGCGCCAAGGGCGACGGCCGCAATGCGGACGTCCGGTGAGTCAAAATGAACTCGCTCGAAGCGGTCGTGGTCAATGTCGCGGTCGCCAAGGCCGAGCTTGCCGTAGTCGTTCTTGCCAACGGTGAAGAGGTGGCCGGCGGCCGAGACCACCGCTGTGTGACTCACCGACGTGGCGATGTCAACGACGACAATCTGGCCGTCAAGGTCGTCGATCTTGCGGAAGTGCTGGGCGTCGGTCCGGTCGCCGAGCGCGGCCGGCCTGCTTTGGACGTGTCCGAGCCGCGCCGTGTCGCCGCCACCGGCAGTGTACACGGCGCCGGCAAGCGTCCGGACCACGGTGTGCTTTGGCCCACACACCACCTGAACCACATGCTCCTTGGCGCGGGCGAGCGAGTTGACCAGCTCCGGTACGGGCGCGTTGGCCTTGGCGCCGAGGCCAAGCTCTCCAAACGCGTTGGAGCCGCAAGTGAAGAGCCGCCCGTTGCGGGTGACAAACGCGGCGTGGCCCTCGCCGGCGGCAATGTCGACAATGGCCATGCCCTCGAGAGTGTCGATCCGCCCTGGATGTCCGAGCGTCTCCATGCCGGCGAGCGAGAGGCCGTCACCGGTCGTGCGCCCCAGGAACGGTGGGTCGTGTGCCGAAACGAGGCCCCACGAGAAGACCGCGCCTTCTGAGCTGAGCGCGAGGAGGAACGAGTCGGAGACTGCGACACGGGTGACCTGGATGCCGGCAACGGTGAAAAAGGTCACTTCCTGCGGCGTCCGGTACTTGAGCATCTCGACCGATTGTGCCATGATCTTGCCGCGGAACTGAAAGACGTTGCCCCAGACAAAGAGCCGACCGTCTGACGTCACCGCCGCCCCGTAGGTCCGGGCGAGGTCGACCTGGACCACGTCGCGGTGAATGAAAAACTGCTCGACGGCAATGTGGTTCTCCACCTCGAAGGCCGGCGTGTTGCGGGCCACCTGCAGGTATTGCACGGTCTCTGCCGCGCCACCGCCACCGCCACCATCGCCACCACCATCGGCGCCGTCGTCGTCGGGCGCCGTGCGGTCGCGGCTGCCGGTCTTGCCGCCGCTCGCGCTACCTTTGCCCGACTCCTTGCCGGATTCAGTCGAGGTGGTGCCTCCGGCCGAGTTCTTGTTCGACCGCTTCGGCACCGAGTACACAACAGGGGCTTCGAGGTGGTACGGCAGCTGGGGACGGTGTGACATGGCGCCGAGGAGGAACTGGCGCAGCTGCGGATCGGCGCAGCACTGCGACGGCAGCCGACCCGCGCCGTCCTGGACACACACGTCTGCAGCAATGGGCGCAGGCTGGAGCAGAGAGCGGACAAGTGCCGCATGGCCGCCGAGCACCGCGAGGTGCAGCACCGAGTTGCCGCGGCCGTCTTGGGCGTTGACGTCGGCGCCAGACTCGCGGAGCGTCTTGACCACAGCCATCTCGCCGGCAAGGACCGCCAGATGAAGTGGAGTCTGGCCGGCAAAGTTGACGGCATTGACGTCGGCTTTGTACAGGACGAGAAGGTTGACAATCTGGTTGTCGCCAAGCGCGGCAGCGTCGTGTAGCATGGTGTTGCCGTTTGATGCCGCAGGCACGTTGGTGTCACAGCCCTGCGAGGAGACCAGTGACTGGACAAGCTCGCGGCGGAGGTCCGGCTCGGGCACGGTGTGCAGGATGACGTGCAGGATGGTGAGACCGTCCGCGTTGAGGGCGTTAAACTGAGGGCCGCGGGTGGCAAGCAGCGGGATGAGCGGCATGAGGTCGTTCTCGGCTGCAAGGTGCAGGACCGAGAGCCGCTGCGAGTTGACTAGCGTCAGCTGGAGATCGTCCTTCTCCAGAAGAACACGCACGGTGTCCTGGTCCGAGTTGGCGAGTGCAACGTGGATTACGGCGTCGCCGACGTTGTTGACCTCGTTGAGCTTGATGTTCGGCGATTTGAGGAGGAGCGTGACCGCTTGGGTATCCTTGTCCTGGACTGCCAGGTGCAGCGGCGTCTCGCCTGCCGAGTTCTGGGCGTTGACGTTGCAGTTCTTCTCGACGAGGTGCTTGACAACGTCGGCAAAAGAGGCCCGCTTGAGCGCGAGATGCAGCGGGGTGTTCAAGTCACGGTCCATGGCCGAGAGCGCCACCGAAGTCAGCTCGTTGATGATATGGTTGACAAAGTCGGCTTGGTAGTCGTTCGATGCAATGGCCATGTGCAGGACGTTGCGTCCAAGCGCGTTGTCAAGCCGGCACCTTTCGTTGAGCACCTCGACCGACTCCTTGGCTAGGTGCTGACAGAAGAGGAGCTTGGCGAGGCTCGGGTGGCCGTTGATCATGGCGAGATGGATCGGAAGCGCCCAGGCCGAGTTGGGGACGTCAAACGGCACGCCGTGCGAGATGAGCGCCTTGACCACATTGGTCATCCCGCGCTCGGCGGCGTAGTGGACTGCGGTTGCCCCGTCCGAGCTGTTGACCTTAAGCGGGTCGAGCTCGCCCTGCAGATGGATCTCACCGTCGTCGACGTCCGAGAGCGAGTCGGACATGCCACCGGCGTCCGAGCCAGAGTCGTGGCCAACACCGGCGTCCGAGCTCTCGTCGTCTGACGATGAATGACCATCAGCGTCGAGTTTCCCGGAGGCGGCCAGCGTGACAAAGACGGCATCAAGGACGTCAACAATGATCGAGACGGCGATCTCCTCGGCCACGTCGTAGTTGGAGAGCGAGTAGCCTGCGGCATCAGAGCGCCCTGCGGCAGACCGCCCGGTAACTCCAGAGCTGGCGGCCGCACCGGAAAAGGCCACCCGAGTTCCGCTGCGGCGGAGGCTGCCCTGAGCACCTGCAGCACCATTGCCGGACGCCGCCGCGGCCTTACCTGCTCCTGCCACCTTGGCCTTGTCCGAGCTCGAGCCGCGAACCTCCTCAACTGTCCCTGGGAAGCTTTCGAGCTCAGGCGAGCCGAGCAAGATCATGGCGACGTCGGCCAGGCCTGCGCGGACGGCGAGATGGAGCATGGTGTTGTCGTTGCAATCGGTCTCGGCGATCGAAGCACCGGCGCGGATAAGCTGGATGGCAAGTTGTGACTCGCCCAGCTCGATGGCAAGGGCGAGCGGGGTCTTGCCGTCCGGGTACGTCTTGCCGTCGATGATCTCAGCGTGAGCGCCACCCCACTTGGAGGCCTGGGTCCAGATGCGGGAAATGGTCTTCCATGGCAGGCGCGACTTGACGGCGAGGTGGAGCAAGTTCTCCTTGTCAGCGTTGGTGGCCGAGGTGTCGATGTAGTTACCGGTGCCAGCCTCGGAAAAGTCCCACACTCGGTCGAACATGCGCGAGGCGGTGTCCGGCGAGCGGAGGAGGTAGTGCATGGGTGTGTTGCCCGAGGCGTCGACAACGTTGATGTTGACTGGAGCACCGAGCTTGGCCGAGAGCCGGCGCGATGCGGTCGGGTGATTAACAAGCTTGTCAAAGACCTCATCGAGGCCCTTTTCGAACACGTAGTGGACGATGGTTGCCTTGTTGTTGTCCACGTGCTCAACGTCAGCAGCTTGGTCAATGAGGTCGACGGCGGCGGCGGCATCGCCGTGCTTGCACGCAAGCAGCAGCGGCGTCTCGTTGTTGCTGTTCACGGCATCAAGCACGTCCTCAAAGTCGGAACGGAGGCCGGCAAGCTTGACCAGCCTGCGCCACGCGCGAAGGTCTGACTGGAAGGACGGCGGCAGGTCTGCGGCGTTGGGCAGCTTGGGTTCGTGAGCCGACCGGCCGTTGTCCTCATCGTCGCCAGCCATGGTGGCGGCTTCCTCGGCGACGGCAAAATGAAAGGCCGAGAGGACAGCCCAGCGACGGCGACGCGACGACTTGGCGTTTTCAAGCGAGCGGTGGAGCTTGTTGGCCGCGTTGCGGACCTCCCTCGGCCGGCTAGAGTCCTCCTTGAGATGGATGAGCTCGCCAAGGATGGCAACAACCTCCTCCTTGCGCATGGACGCGGCCTTGGCTACCAGCGACTGTGTGAGGTTGTGCGAGTGGCGGATGGCGAGGTGCAGTGCGTTGTCATTGTCGCGGGTTGTACACGCCGGGTTTGCGCCGAGCGCAATGAGCTTGGTGACAAGCGACTCGGGTGCGCCGTTCATGCACGCGTAGTGCAGCGGGGTACGGCCCGAGTCATCGACGCACTCGTCGAGCGAGAACTCGGGATCGACTTCGACAATGCGGTCGATGAGCGCCGAAGCGACCGAGGCGCGCGACGGGTTGCGGCACGCGTGGTGGAGCGGGGTCATACCCTCTCGATCGGTGGCGGTCAGGTTCTCAATAGTGAGCTTGTCTGATGACTCCATCTCGGCAAGGAGAAGCATGGCGATGAGCGAGGCCTGGGCGTCAGTGATGGGCTTGGCCCCGGCAAGGAGGCTCTTGCCCGACCGCGAGCTCTCAATGCACGAGCAGACGAGGTGGAGCGGCTTGTTGCCAGTCATCTTGTTCTCGACTACGGGCGAGGCCTTGGCGGCAAGCAGCTCGCGGATGACGGCGACGTCGCCGTTGCGTATGGCGCAATGGAGAATGGGCTCGCCACTGGCGGTCGCCTTGTCGAGGACTGAGACGTAGGTCTCGCTGGCACCCTCACGCATTTTCTCACCGGTCGAGGCCTGGATGAGTAGCTTGACAAGCGTGGTGTTGCCCATGCGGTAGGCATGAAGCAGCGGCGTGCCCGGCGGCGAAGCGGCATCCGAGACGCCAAGCGCGTCCTTGTGGGCGTTGATGAGATCCATCGCAACCTTGGAGAGCAGCTTGTCCAGCGCAGAGTGCTCGGCAGTAGTGGCCGTCATGCAGAGGACATGTAGCGGGCGCTGGTGAGTGACCTTGGTCTCCTGCGCAGCGAGGGCGGCGACAGCGTCGGACGGACCGGAGCCCTTGGCCGACTTGGACGCCGAGGCCAGTGCCGCCGTCGAGTTGCGCGACTTGCTCTTGACGCCCTTGCCCGAGAGTAGCGAGTGCGCGATCTCCAGCTTGGTCCGCGCGAGGCGGAGGTCGTCGACCTTGCATGCCAGGTGCAGCGGGTTCTCGTAGTCGACGGTGAGTGCGTTTTCCGGAACAGCGCCCTCACGGACAAGCGCGGTGACGACCGAGGTGAGGCCCTTGTCGACAGCAAAGTGCAGGGCGGTAGCCTTGGTGGCGGTCGAAGTGTGATTGACCTCTACGTTGGCAGCAATGAGCTTGAGCGCAAGCTCAGGCTCACCGATGGCACAGGCGCGCATGAGCGGCGTCTCGCCGCGGGCGTTCGGCACCGCCACGCCATGGCCGTCCTCGATGAGCTTGTGGGCAATGTGACGGAACGACTCGGCATAGGCGACACCGACACCAGCGAGCTGGTCGAGCGCCACGTGCAAGAGCGCGTCGAGCTCGACGTCGGCCTCAGGGCGATCGAGGAGCGACATGGCAATCGCGGCGTGACCCATCTTCATGGCATAGTAGATAGGCGTTCGCGGCTCGTCGCTCTCCTCGGCGAGGAGCGCCGGTGTGTGGGTAGCCAGCGGCGTAGCCTTGAGCGACGCGTCGGCGTTCCAACGGAGTAGAAGCGCGGTGAGCTTGGGCAAGCCACCGGCGGCAGCATAGTGGAGCGGCGTCCATCCGCCAAGACCTTGCGAGTTGATCATGAGTGAGACGTACTCAGTCTTGGACCGGTGGTTCGCCACAAAGTGCTCAATGAGGAAGAGCGCAATGGCGTCGTCGCCGGCATCGAGCATGGCGTACTTACACGCCATGTGAATAGGCAGGTCTAGGTTCTTGTCGGCCCGCATCGAGCCGCCGCCGCGACCAACGAGCGCACGCACAACGTCCATGAGGCCCTTGCGGGCAGCGTAGTGAAGCGCGGTCTGCTCCTCACGGTCGTTGGCGTTGACATCGGCGTTGGCGCGGAGGAGGTGCATGGCTAGCTCGGCATGGCGCGAGGCACAGGCAGCAATGAGCGGCGTCTGCCGTTGTGCGCCGGGCTGGTCGACACCCACACCGTGGGCGAGCAGATACTTGGTGAGCGAGACCAGGCCCGACCGGGCAGCAAAGTGGATGGCGGCCTCAGAGTCGACGTTCGAGTCCGAGAGGTTGATCTCGAGCGTGGGAACGGCCTCGACTGTCCGCACCACCCACAGCGCAGTCGACGACTTGTTGGCTTTGCACGCAACAAGGAACGGTGTCTGCTCCTTTGAGTCCTTGACCATCTCGACGCCTGGAATGAGGAGCATGGCAACAACGACAGCGGTCATGCCGTGAAGCGCAGCATAGTGGAGCGGCGTCGACTTGAGCCCGCTCTTGTCGGAGCGGGCTACCGCCATCGGGTCGCATCCAAGTCCAAGAAGCATGAGAGCTGCATGCATGTACCCGCGGCGACAGGCGCGAATGAGAGGCTGGCCCTCCATGACCGAGAGTCCGTGCCGGATGAGCTTCCCAAGAATGTAGGGGAACGGAAGCGCCTCGAGCAAGAGCGACTTGGCAACCATGACGTCGGCCGCCCAGTCGACGGCAGCATGGTTGAGCAGCGCAGAGGCGACGTCAAAGTTGGCAGCCTGGATAGCGAGGTGGAGCGGCGTGAGCCGCGAGTTGCGGCTAGTGGACGCGGGCACGGCAGCGTTTGCCGTGACCGCCGGGCCTTGCGAGCTTGACTTTGGCTGCGACATCGACTGGATAGAGCCGGCGGCGGTGAGGGCGTGCCTGGTGAGATGGGTCGGTTCGCACGATCCCGACTGGAAGGCTGATTCAGAGGCAAAAGGGAGCAGGAGCTTGACAAGCTCAGGGTGGCCGATCTCGATGGCGACTGAGAGCGGCGAGTAGCGCTTGCCCGAGGCAACGCGGACTTCAAGCGGCGCCGGCGGGCGGCGAAGAAGCTCCAGAGCGACGTCGACCCGCGGGAGGAGCGAGCCGTACGACGAGCGTCCGTCGCGGGCCGAAAACCGCGCCACAAACGGGTGTTCAAGGGCGTCGCCGTCATCGGCCGGGTAAACACCCGAGGCGCTACCGGCGACAACGTGCCCGGCGGAGGCAGACTCGTCAGCTGCGCTGTGCTTGCTCTGGAGGAGGCGGAAGCCCTCGGCGATGGTGGCGGCGCGCGAAGCGGGCGTGCCCAGCTCGAGAAACTTGTCGAGCTCCGTCTTTGCAGCCGAGCCGCGGAACGAGACAAGAGCAATGAGTAGCGGCGTCTCGTCTGTGGTCATGCGCGCATTGACCTGGACGGTGAACGGCTGCAGGTCCGAGACATCGATGTTGGCGTTAAGGTCGACAAAGACAAACTCTGGGGTGCGCGACGCACCCGACGCCGGGTCGGCCATGGACGCGCGGACTGAAGCTCGAGTCGACGGGCTCCGGCCTGCGATAGTGCGCGAGGCATCAAAGCCGACCAGCGAGCCTGTGAGATGGGCAAGCGACCAGTCGCCGGTCTTGGCCATCTCAGAGTTTTGCAGGTTCTCGGCAAACTGGATGTTGACCCGGACGTCGTGCATGGCCGGAATGGGCCCACCGACTGCGACCTCGATGGACGGCAGTGTCGGCGGGAGGTGCGAGGTTGGGCCAGTACCGCGGCCGCGCCCGCCGCGGGAGCGACGAGCAGCGCGACCAGTCTTGACGCCACCGGCCTTGGCGTCGGCGTTGGCGACTAGCCGCGAGAGCTCCGAGACCCGAAGAATGAGCTTGAGCATAAAGACTGAGTTGCGTGCGGCCAGGTGCAGGTACGAGAGCTTCCCCTGAGCCTCGGCTGAGCCAGAAACTACCATCGAGGCACGGGCGAGTGGCGAGAGAAGCAGTTGCGCGTATCGGGTGTCCTTCTTGAGCACGGCATAGTGCAGCGGGTTGAAGCCAAACAAATCCCCGACAAACTCGGGCTTGCGGCGGAGGAGCGGCACGATGACATCCTCGAGCGAGTTGGCAACCGCAAGGTGAAGCGCTGTCTGCTGGAAGCGATTGGTGCTCGACTTTGCATTGATGTCCAACGGTGGCAAATGCCGTGAGAGGGCCTTAAACCTCGTGAGCGTGTCATCGGCACCGAGCATGAACATGACAAGCGCGGTGTAGGAGCGGGAGAGCGCACGCAGAAAGTAGCCCTCGGGCCGCTCGACGCCCTTGGTCCAGAGTTGCTTGACGAGGGCGAGCTTGCCGTTGACCAGCGCGCCCATGAGTGGCATGTCGATCTTGAGCAGAGTCCGCACAATGCCGTGGCCAGACTTGAACTTGTTGAGGACGGGCTCAAAGCCACGTGCACACACCAGGCTGAGCGGGTTGGTCGAGCCGGCGACAAAAATGGAGCCGGCGTTCTGGGCCTTGTGGCGAGCAATGGCGTCGACGCCGCCCTGGACAAGCTGAATGGCGATCGAGACAAAGCCAGACTCAAGGGCGACACGGAGCGGCTCAGCGACCGAGATACCCGACCGCTTCTCGTCGCGGGCGAGGATGGCCTGGACCACGGTTCCCATGCCCTGCGCTGCGGCAAGCTGCAGCGGAACGCATCGCTCAGTGTTGCGAGCCGTGAAGAGCGCCGCGCACCGTTCCTTGCGGTCGGTGAGGCGAGCAAGGAGCTGGTCGAGGACCACGTGGGCTGTGGCTACCGAGCCTGACGCGATGGCGGTGTGGAGGACTGTGCTTGCCGTGAGCGACGACTTTGTGGTGACGAGCTTGCGCTTAAACGCATCCGACGGGCAGGCGGCAAAGAGGTTCTCGAGAAGCGCAAAATGGCCATGTGCTGCAAGCATGTTGACCACCGACTCGGTCTTGTGCGAGGTCTGCAGCCAGGGGACGAGACCGTTTCGGGCATTGCCGCCGACGACGGGAGGGGCAAAGGTGTCAAAGAACCACTGGGTAAAGTACGGTACAGCCTTGTCGACGACGTAGTGAACGACCGAGTACGCCGACTCGTCGAGGAGGCCGAGGACGGCGATGTGGGCGCGGTCAGCGAGCGAGCGCGGTGAGTCTGGCTCGCCGTCGTATCCGGCGCGCTGCTCAAAGTCAAACTCGTCGTCAAAGCCGTCGTCCCCGTCGTTGTCGAGAGTGCCCTGCGCTTGGCGGGCGCGGAGGGCCTCCTCCTCTTCGGCCACCATTGCCACGAACACGGTCTCAAAGAGGCCGGGCATGGCGAGCTTGGCAGCAAGATGAAGGACGCTATGGCGAGTCGACGGCACAACCCACGAGCGGAGGACAAGATGGTCTGCGCCGGCGTCGACGACCTCGTCCTCGGTTTGCTCGCCGTCGGGGGTAGCGGCTGCGGCTGCGGTCTTGCGAATGCTGGCCTCGTTCCGCTGTTTCTCCTCGGCGTAGAGGTCGTTGAAGAGGCTCAGCGCGGTGGCCTCGGACAGGGTGTGTCCCAGGTAGGCGATGTCGACGGCCGACTCGTTAACCCCGACCATCATTTCGAGCATGCGCATGTACTGGTCGCGCGTGGGAAGGCCGACGGCAACGTGGAGGAGCGGCATGACGTCAAGTCGGCGGTTCTCGATGGCAGCGTCGTAGAGCTCATGAAGCATCGACTTGGGGACTGAGCCCGTGGCAGAGAGCGGCTCCGAGGTGGCGTTGGCCGATGTCGAGGCGCCGAGTGCAAGGCCCAGCTGCGGCACACCGTTGCCAGTCACTCGCGCCGAGACGTTGGCGAGCGCATTGGCGAGGACGTTGGAGCGCGAGAGGACGTGCTCTGCAGAAACACCAGCGTCTGCGCTGGCAGCGGTGCCGCCGCGGCGCCGCGAACTCTCTTTGGCGGGCAAGTAGTGGCCAGCGTGCTTGATGAGTGGCTCGTTGTGGCGAGTGAGCTTGAAGAGAAGAGCGGCGAGAATGGTGAGCGAGCGGGTCTGGCCGAGGGCTTCCTTGGCAAAGTTGAAGAGGTAGACCGCGACTGCATCAACAAGCTCGATGTCGCCCTCTTCGTAGGCGGCGAGCCCGATGCCGTCGCAGGCGTGGGCAAGGAGGAACGGGAGGACGGGCGAGTCGCCCTGGCCCTCGAGCGAGGCCGCGAGTGCAGTCGACGCGTTGAGCCGCTCGATAAAGGTCTGGGCGTCGGCGGCGAGAAGGAGGAGCGAGTTGACGTCACGACCGGATGAGATCGACTCGATGAGTGGGGTGATGCCCGACTGTGTTTCCGAGTCGATAACAACCTCAAAGCGAGTAGCGAGGAGGAGGCCGAGGACGTGCGGCATGTTGGCCTTCTCGACTTGGTCGAGTAGACCGACGCCGATCTCGTTCTCGCAAAACCGCAGGCCGATTTCCATCGATGGCTGCGGGAGAAAGGCAACAAGTAGTGCGGCGAGCGAGACGTCGCCGCGGGCGACGGCAACCTGGATGGGATTCCGCGACGAGGCGTCGGGCATGGTAAAGAGCCGCATGAGGACGTACCACGCGAGATGGGAGCGCGAGTTGGAGACTTGAATGTTGGAGATGAGGCCGCGGACAAACGAATAGTGGCCAGCGGCCGCGGCGCGGTGAAGAATCGGCGCGGTGACGCCGATCGAGTCGGTCGACATGGTGGTGAGGCCGGAAATCTCGAGCATGCCGAGTCCGACGTCGAGCGAGCGCGGCGATTTGATAGTTGTCTCGACAAGCGCAAGAAGGACTTCCGACTGGATCTGGTTGGTGACAGTGGCCTGGGCGACCAGGTCTGTGACCAGAAAGGCAGCCACGTCGAGGTACGACGAGAGAAGCGCGGCGTGGACAAGCTCGGCAATGGTGTTGAGCGAGTAGTCCTTGGCCCGTGAGACCGAGACCGAGGCCGAGAGCGACGAGTTTGGCGCGCTGCTGCCAGCGGCCTTTGCCAGCCGTGACGTTCCGGTCAAAGTGCTCGAGGCGTCCGACGCGGTGTCTGCGAGCGCCTTGAGGAGCGCCCGGAGCAGGCCAAGCTGGCCGGCAGAGACAGCATAATGCAGCGGCGACTGGCGTTTGTCATCCAAAAAGTGGAGGCACATCGAGCCGTAGATGTCGTACAACCGCATGGCGACCTTAGTCATGGCATGCATGCAGGCAAAGTGCATCGGGGTGCGCGAGTGGGCGTCGCGGGCCATAATTCGCCACGACTCGCGCTTGCGCTTGGACGGCGAGGTAGACGAGCGGCCCGAGTGGGCAGCCATGCCCTCGTCGGAGATCTTAAAGGCGTCGATATGGTCGAGGAGGGTGAGGGCAATGATCTCGTTTCCAGCCTCGCAGGCGACAATGAGCGGCGTCCGCTGCATCGAGTCACGGCCAAAGAGGTCGACGAAAATGAGATCGGTCTCAGAGAGCATCTCTTCTGAGCGCTCCTTGGTGGCACCGTCGGCAGCGGCGCTTCCGGTCAAGGCCGCAGTCGAGCCGGACTTGCCCTTGCGCCCGACCATGGCATCAAGGCGTCGCCGCTTCGGCTCGGAGACGGCGCCGGTGGTGCGCGAGGCCGTGCTCTGGGCGTCGCGCGGGATGCGGGCAACGTTACGCATGTCAGGAGAGAACGGAATGGCCTCGTCGCGGGCCAGAGCGAGGCTCAGCTGTCGAGTCGACGAGTCGAGGCGAATGAGGGCACGGACAACTGAGTCGAGCGAATGAGCGACGGCGAGGTGAATGAGGGTCGCCTGAGTCATGTCTGCGCCATTGATAAAGGCGTTGATAAAGAACGCACCCTTATCCGCCAGCGACGGAATGGTCCGCCTCAGTGACGGCATGGTGAGGGCGTCGATCATCCAGTGGAGGAGTGAGACATGGCCGCCGCGGGCAGCAAGGTGAAGTGCCGACGAGCCGTCGGCCGCCAGTGCGTAGACTTCAACGCCGGCGCGGGCGAGCGCGGTGACAACGGTTGTGTCGCCGGCGCGGGCGGCGTAGAGAAACGGCGAGAGGCCCTGGGCGTCGAGCGAGTCGAGGAACTCGGCAAGCGCGGTCCGCGCGCGCATGACGTTGGCGGAGACTGAAGCGCCGCCGGACGAGTTACCGCCGCCCTGGCGACGACGGGCGAGGGCGGTCATGTCACGCGACGAGGTCGTGGCCGTCGCCTTGATACTCACATTGGCCACAAAAGCCGGCTGCGAGGCAAAGAGCGAGGCCTGTAGGCCGCCAGCGGTCTCCATCTGTGCCTCGAGCGCTTTGATGAGCAGGAGCGAGAGCTGAGTCAGCTTCCGCTTGCAGGCGTAGTGGAGGACGGACCGGCCTTTGGAGTCGAGGAGCTCGGTCTTGGTCCCCTCCCATCTGAGGAGCTCGGTGGCGATGAACGGGCGGCGGAAGGCAGCGGCGACAATGAGCGGAGTGCGGAGCTCAGCGTTGCGGGCGTTGACGTCGAGCTCGACCTGGTGGGCGTCGGCGCGCTGGCGGAGAATGCCCAACACCTCGCCCATGCCGGACCGGGCTGCGTAGTGGAGGACGGTGTTGGAGAACGCGTCTTGGGCGTTGACAAAGAGCTCGAGTGCGTGCGAAGAGGCGCTCCACATGGCAAAAGCCTTGTCGATGATGAGCTTGGCGACTTCGGAGAATCCCGAGGCTACCGCTACGTGGAGAACGGTCTGCGAGTCAATGTTGAGGGTGTCGAGCTGAACATCGTCGCGCTGGAGCAAGGTGGCTACGAGGTTGACCATGTTGCGCGAGACGGCCTCCATGAGCGGCGTCGTCGACTCGGTTGGCGACTTTCCGTGTGTGAGCGGTCCGGTGGTGCCCGACGCGGTGGACGCGTTAATGGGCGAGCCGATGGTGACCAGCCGGATGGCAAGCTCCTCTTTCCCGCGAAGAATGGCCTCGTGGAGAAGGGTTGTCTGACCGTGACGGATGGTGGTGGGAGCGCGCGAGCGCGGGAGGAGTAGGACCTGGCCCTCGACCAGTGTCCGGACCGGTGCTGGGACAGGCGGCCAGTGGGAGGTGCTCGAGGTGTGGACCTTTTCCTGGCCGCTGCCTCGCGGGGGCGAGTTGGTGGGGGCGGCACCGCTGGCGTCTGGGGCGGTAGCCCGGCTTGGCGAACTTGGCTCGTCGCCTCCGGCCGAGACCTGGAGCGCGATGGTTGACGAGATGTTGGCGCTCGAGGCAGCGACGCGCAGGTCCGTGGCTGCGGCTTCTGCGTAGCGAGCGTCAAAGTCCGCCCCGAGGAGCTTGGTAGCAGCCGAGCCGTGGAGCCGCAGGTGTGCGGCAAGCGAGGAGCCCGGCGAGAGGACCTGGCGCGAAAAGGCGAGTGCCGACGGGAGAAAAGCGTTGAGGAGCGAGACGGTGTCCGGGTGCATGGTCTGTGGGACGTAACCTTGAACAGAGACGCTCTCAAAGCCAAGGCCACGGGCGTAGAGCGCGGCGCCACGCTGGGCTGAGCAGAAGAAAGCCGAATCGCCGCGACGCGAGCGGTAGAGGACAAGCGGAAGCGTGTCGGGCATGTCAATAGCGTAGATGTACTTGCCGTACTTTGCCGAGAGCGACGGCGGAATGACCGAGGCGGCACAGCATCCGGCAGCATGGGTATACCCATGATTGGAGACGAGATCGGCAATGGTCTCCGGCGAGGCGACGGGCAAGACCGACGACGAGTCGCTGCCAAACTCCTCGCGGATGAGAAAGTGTAGCTCAAGATAGTTGGTCGGGTAGTCGGCCATGCCGGCGCGCGAACCGAGGATGGAGACGCCGAGCTTGGTCTCTGCAAACGGCGGGCGGGCGTCCGGCGCGGCGGAGCCATTGTCCGAGGCCGCGGCCGCGGCCGCGGCCTTGGGAACATACAGGTCACAGAGGCGAAAGAGGGCGTCGACAAGCTCGGGAACAGAGTCGGGCGGCGCGCCGAGGGCGAGGTGCATCGGAGTCTCCTGGGTCGGGTTCCAGTTGTCGCTCATGACCGAGCGGAGGAGAACCTTGCGGAGCTCCGAGCCGACCTCGTCGTTGGAGTGGGCGAGGTCGACAACGACGCCTACGACGTCTGTGGCCGCTGCAGCGAGGGCAACGTGGAAAAAGGTATGCATGTTGTTGTTGCGGGCACGGACAAGACCTTCGATGTCGAGAGCAGCGATGATGAGATCGCGGACAAGCTCAGCATGCCCGTGCTTGGCGGCGGCGTGGAGCAGGGTGTTGCCCTCGGCATCGACGAGGCTCATGCGGAAGAGCGAGCTCGCAGCAGTGGTGTACTGGGCAGTCGAGCGCGAGTTGTCCTCGTTGATGGGCGGCTCGCGCTCGCGCCGGACGTCAGGGTGGACATCTGCCGAGTACGGGAAAAGCTGGCTGATGAGGTCAACATGGCCGGCGGCGAGCGCCATGTGCAGCGGCGGGAGCTCGATGAGGGCGCCAGCAGCCATCGAGTGGACCGGATGGCGCGGCTCGAGAAAGGCCGGCGAGCAAAGAAGCGCGAGCGCGACAAGGTCGTCGCCAACCGTGACTGCGTGATGGAACGGAGTGTAGCGGCGACCGTCCTGGGCGTTGATGTCTGCGCAGCCGGAAATGATGATGTTGATGGCAATTTCCGAGTGGCCGGCAGCAATGGCGAGATGGAGCGGGCGCGCGCCATGGATGTCGGGCGCGTCGAAGAGGCCCTTGTCGATAAAGGTGTCGGCAATGTCCGAGTAGAGGCCCGCCATGCCCTTGTCTGCGGCGTAGTGCAGGAGGGTGCGGCCGCGGTCGTCAGCGGCGGTGATGTCGATACGGTGGAGCTCCGCGGCCGGGGCATGGTTCTTCGTCTTTGGCTTGACGGCTGCCAGAAAAGAAGCGACGGCCTCGTGGCCATTGTGGGCAGCAGCAAGGAGCGGCGGCCGGGCGGCGGCGCCGCGGACGTGAATGTCGAGCCCGAGGGAGTAGAGGAGCGAGAGGCAGCCGAGCTTGCCAGTCTTAGCCGCGCAAGTAAGGAGTGTGTCGCCAACGGTGTTGGTCACAAACGAGTAGTTGACGGTCTGTGACGAGAAACGCGACTTTTGAAAGTCGTTCTTGGTGAGCGCCACCGGCTCGACGTGGTCCAGTCTCGGATTCTGCTCGCCGCCGGTGTCCGAGTCGGCGTCGCCAGCATCAGGTGTGGGCTCGGGCTCGGGGGCTGCCTCGCCACGGCGTGGCTTGTGGCGGGTGCGGCGTGGCTCGCTGGTCGGCGCAGCGATGGCAGCGGCGAGGGAGGTGTCCGGGAACGGATCGTACTTTGGCGTAAAGCCGTGGACGCGCTCAAAGTAGAGGCTAACTACCTTTGACGTCGGAACGTCCGCAAGTGAGGCCGAGACAAGCTTGAAGAGTGGGAGCTCGCCGTCGGCGTCAGGGCGCGACCAGGCGGTAGCGAGCACGGTCGGGTGGGTGCGCTCCATCCAAAAAGTAAGGAAGCGGACACAGCCTGTGGCGGTGGCACGGTGGAGCGGGGTCGAGTGCGGGGCGCCGTCGATGTGAGCCGCGAGAAGGACAAGGACCGAGGCGGTGTCGAGGTGCGGGAGGCCCATGACCTTGGCGAGCTGGTCGAGCGAGCCGAGCGGACAGGCCTTGGCGGCGGCGTCCTTCGCGATGGTGAGGGCGACGTCATCATGGCCGTGGTGGGTGGCGGCATAGAGTGGAGTCTGCGACTCGGCGTCGATGGCAAAGGGTGATGCGTGCTTGGCAAGGAGGGCGCGGACTACGGCGTTGTAGCCTGCGGCGGCAGCGAGGTGCAGTGGGGTGGCGCGGGCGTGAAGGTCGTGCATGTCAACAGCGGCTGGGGCGTATGCCTCGCCGGCGGGCCGGCCGAACGCGTCCTCGAGCGACTCGATGCGGCGAGAGACGCTGCGGGAGGACGACATAGCGCCACGGCGCGAGGTGACGTCACCGGCGGCGGCGGCGGCGACAGAGTTCTGGTTCTTACGGGCCTCCTTGTGAAAGGCGACGGCGCAGTTTGCAGTGGCAAGAGCCGGTCCGCTAGCCGGGACAGTCATGTTGGGCGAGATGGCAGAGGAGGAAACCGGGCTTCGCTGCGGCATCTCGATGGCCTTGGTCGCCGGCGCGGCATCGACAAGAAGCAGGGCGATGGTAGGACGCCTGTGCAGGAGTGCAAGGTGAAGCGCAGTATTGCCTTCGGCATCACGATCGAGTAGATGGAGAGCGGGCTTGAAGACCTTGGACGAGAGAAGGGTGCGGACAAAGCGCTCCTGGTTGGCGACGATAGCAGTCATAAGCGGGGTGTAGAGCTCGGGTCCGGCGCGAAGCTGGGGGCTTGCGCCGGCAGACATGAGATCCGAGGCCAGCGGGGCGGCGAGCTTTTCCGAGGCTGCGTAGTGGAGGGCGGAGCGGCCGTTCGCATCACGGGTGTTGACGTTTGCGCCTGCGGCGAGGAGCGAGTTGACGACCGACTTGTGGCCGTTGCGGACGGCAAGAAGAAGCGGGGTGAAGCCGCGAGTGTCGCGGGTATCGACGGCGGCCCCGGCCTCGACGCGCGGCATGCGCTCGGAAGAGAGCAGGGCGTCAACGACGCGGGAGAGGCCACCAGCGGCCGAGTAGAAGAGGGCGGAGCGGCGAAAGGCGTCACGGGCAGTGGCATCGACACCGCGGACGTTGAGGAGCTCTAGGGCGATGGCGGCGCGACCGGCGATGCAGGCAGCAATGAGAGCGTTGGCGCCGGCATGGTTGCACGAGTTGTACGCGCCTGGCAGGAAGGTCGGCGGTAGCTCGGCGATCTTGGCAATGAGGATGCGGACAAGGGCGACCGAGCCACGACAAACGGCGTAGTGAAGAACAGTGTCACCGTCCATGTCGCGGAGGTAGAGCATGGCGTTGAGTGGAAGCGCAGCGGCAATGGAGCCCGACTGGGCGTAGGTGAGGGTGAGGGCATCCTCGGCCGGATCGCCCTGTAGCAGGATGTCGTGCTTGGCGGCGGCGGCAGCAGCAGACGCAGTGAGGTCGTCGTCGTCTTCGAGACGAGACGGGCCCGGGCGGTGCCTTGCCCGGCTCGCCTCGCCGAGCATGGGCGCCATGACATCCTCCATTTCCGCGGTGACGGCAGCAAGGAGGATGCGGATGACAGCGTTGGAGGCATTGGCGACAGCGAGGTGGAGCGGGGTCTGTCCGCGGGCGTTGCGGGCCATCATTTCACGCATCCGCTCGATGGGCAGCTCGGCGTCGAGGAGCGCCTCGACCACCGGTCCGTTGTCAGCCTCTGCAGCCAGATGCAACAGGGTGTTGCCATCATGGTCGCGGAGCATGAGCAGCGAGGCGTCGCGGCGGACGACCACCGTCGTCACCATGGCCGCGGTCCGCGCCGTCGGCGGAGCAAAGGCCATGATCTGCACAGCATTCAGCTCGCGGCGGCGCGAGGAGGAGAAGATCTCGTCGACGTCTGCAACCTTGGAAAGCGCCGAGGCAACGGCGGCAGCTGAGCGTGCAGCAGCGGCAGCAGATTGGCGAGAGCCTCGCGGGCCATCGCCACCAGCAGCAGGAGGCACTGCTCCTGCGCCGGCAGCCTCAGCCGACGCCTCCTCCAGTCGCTTGTCGGCCAGAAACGGAGGCGGATCATAGGAAAAGGTGAACTTGGTCACAAGAACCGAGTCGAATCGAGTATCGTAGCCACGAAGGTCTCCCGCGAGAGCCTTTCCGAACAGCTCGCGGGCCTTGGCCGTCTCCTGGGCCAGCTCTGTCTGCGTTGCCATGTGTGTGAGGCGAGCGGGAGAGATAGAGAGGGAGGGGGTGGGGGTGGGGGTAGGGGTTGGGGAGGGGGTGTGGGGGCTGTATGTATGTGTGTTTGTGTGGTGGTGTGGGTGTGTGTGGTGTGGGTGGGTGTGGGTGGGTGGGTGTGTTGGAGTGGGGTGAGTGGAGGCTGGCGGTGGTGCTGCCACCGGGAGGGAGGGTGAGACGGACAGTGGTCGGTGTGGTGAAGACAGTTGGAAGTGGTATGCCATGGAATGGAGAGAGTGGTCGAGGGAGAAGGAGAGGGATTTTCAACCTTTTTAACCGATTTGTCAGCAGGGCACATCCAGCCATCCACACATGTCCACACACACACAGAGAGAGAGAGAAAGAGAGAGAGTACACCATCATCCAATCCACAACTCTGATCCATGTACGTGTGTGTGCGTATGTGTGGATGTGTGTGTGTGGATGTGGATGGTTGGCTGGTACAGCGGGTGTGCCCGTGAGCAGCGTGGGCTACGATTAAATCTCAATGAATTTACTGTCATTGCTGACGGCAGATAGTTGCCAACCGTCAGTTGCGCTCGCCAGCTACCCCCCCCCCTCCCACCCCCCTACCACCAGCTCCACCAGCACCTCACCCAACACTCCTCTCTCACTCACTCGCTCGCTCTTGCACTAATATGGCCGAGGCGCTGGTCAGGTCTGGCTCGCCCGGTGCGAGCTACGGGACCACGGCTTCGACGCGCGAGCCGACGGCGTCACCCGGAGGAGGCTATGGGAGCTACGGGAGATACGGCCGGCAGTCGGCGTACGGGAGCCACCACCAGTCTGGAGATCGAGAGTACGGGAGCTATGGAAGGTATGTAGCTGGATATCGCTCGCCGGGATCGCCTGATGCAAGCACAGCAAGCTTTGGCGGTACGCCCTCGCTGCATCGGGAGATCTCATCGGTCTGGCGCTCCTCCCGTCCGCCGCCCGAGGTCACCGCCCTTGTCTCGTCCATGGAGGCCATCCAATCATCGGTCTCGTCGACCTTGGCCTCTTCAGCCGCCCGCTCGCGGGTTGAGGGCGCCCGGCTCGCTACGCTGGTACGATCGCTCAAGGACGATCTGGCGGCTGCAGCTGCAGCGGCTCAGCAGGCCGACTCTGAGAATGCGAGTCTCTCCGCTGACGCCGCCGCTGCCCGAGATGCGGCGGCGGCGGCCGAGGCCGCTGCTGGCAGGATGGACGGTCAGCTCAAGGCGGCGCACGCGCGGATAAGCGGGCTGGAGGATGCGCTGGACGAGGCCCGCCGCGAGGCTGCCGAGCTCCGCGATGCCAACCGCGAGCTCGAGTCGGAGCTCCGCGCCACTGTCGGTCCGCTGCGCGAGGAGGTGAGGACGCTCGAGGCTCGCGCAGCCCAATGGCAGAACGAGTCGCGCGAGGCCGTGCGGGCACTGGAGGCGGCCGGTGCGGCCCAGGCGGCCGCCGAGGCGGCAGCGAGCAGGGCAGAGGCAAAAGGCAAAGGCGGCCGACGAGCGCCGCGCCGCCGCAGACGCGGCTGCCGCCGCAGAGTCTGCCTCGCTGGGAGCTGCCAACTCGGACTTGCATGCACAGCTGACAAGCGCACAGGACGCGCTACATGAGGCGCGGATGAGCGCAGCCAACTCGTCGGCGTTGTGCGTCGAACCTGGCGGCGCGCGCCGAGGCCGCCGAAGCCGCCCGTGACGCCGCCCGCGCCGAGGCTAGCCAGTCTGCGGCGGCGCTCGCTGCACTGCGCTCGGAGCGGTCCGACGCCCAGGCCCGGCTTTCGGCCTGCGAGGCCGCGCTCGACCGGGCGCGCGCCGAGGCCGAGACGATGCGCTCGCAGCTGACAGCGTCCAAGGCACGCAACGATGAGCTCGCACGTGAGATGCAGCGCGCGGTGGAGAAGGCGCGGGTGGCAGCAGCGGCCGAGGCTCGGGCTGCCGACGCCGCCTCGGCGGCCAAGATAGCGGCCGACGGCTCGCGCTCACGTGCCGACGCGCTGGCCAACGAGCGCGACGCCGCCCGTGCCGCCGCCGACGCCGCCTCGGCCGACGCCCGAGCTGCCAAGTCAGAGGCATCGGCAGCATCGGCAGCCGCCGCCGCCGACGCTGCCCGGCTCGCCGACGCCCATGCCCGCATCGAACGCATGGCGGCCGACGCCGCCCGCGACCGGGCCTCGCTCAACGAGGCTGCTGACGAGGTGCGCCAGCTCCGCGACGCGCTGGCCCGGGCCAAGGTCCAGATCGAGCAGCGCGACGTGGCTGTCGCCGAGCTTGCTGCCTTTTGCGACCAGTACAACACCTCTGTTGAGGCGTTGTCGTCGGAACGCGAGTCGCTGGCGTCGGCGGCGTCCGAGGCGAGGCGCGAGGCTGCCACATCGTCAGCCCTGTTGGCCGAGCGGACCGACGAGCTTGCGTACGCCAACGCCAACGTCGCGCGCATGCGCCAGGTCATTGCCCGGCTCAAGGCCTCGGTCGGCTCGCAGATCGAGGCCATCATCACCGACGTTGAGTCGTCGCCGTCGCCGTAAAACCGCAGTCGGATAGCTACACCTTTTTTACCGGATGGCCTACGACATGAAACCGGAGCACGTCCGCGCCCCGCACGCGCACGGCACTCGCTGGTCGGGGTCCTCGTCGCGCTGGAACTTGTAGTCGTACGTGAGCTCGGTGCCAGCGCGGATAAAAACGCGTGACACGATGATAATCTTGCGGTCGCCGTTCCAATAGATGGTCTTGGTGGTACAGTTGGGGTCGCACGAGTGGTTGACGAACCGCGCCTCGTTGCCTTTCTTGGTGGCGTCAACAATGTGCTCGTCGTCAATCTTGAACATGTAGCACCCGATGCCCTCCGAGTCGTACCGCCGCTCGCGGACGTCCGAAACGGTCGACCGAATGACTTCGCCACGGTACTCGATGAGCATGGTGCCGGGCGGAAAGTCTTCCTCAGCAAACAGGCCGTGCCCCTGGATACGCGACCGGCCGATCCGGAGCGCCGGCGGGAATGAGAGCAGCTCACGGTACTGCATGCTCTGCGGGAGCTGATTGACACTCCGCCCACCGACGTCGTCAAACTTGTCGATCTTGGACGACGACCGCCCAAGCGCCTTGGACGATGTGGAGGCCTTGGACGACGCGGAGGCCTTGGACGACATAGACTTTTTCGATGACGACGCCGGATGTGGCGCCGGCGCCCGCCCCGACGGGCCCAGCGACGCCGCCAAAGGCGTGGCCGGGCGTGACGAGCTGCTGCTGCGTGCCACGTCGGGGCCGACGGCGGCAGCCACCGGCGTGATTCCCGCGTTGGCCCGCCGCGCCACCGACGACGAGTGGCGGACCTTGCGGATCCGTGGCTGCAGCCGCGCCGCGCCTGCAGGAAGCAGGCTCGGCAGCCGCCACAGCTGCGCGTCCCACGCGCTCCGCCGCTCGTAAAACTCAAAGTTGTACTCGGCGCAGAGAAAGGCGAGCGGGAGTGACTCGATGCAGCGCCGAGTAGTCGGGTGGGACAGGCCAAACATGTCGCGCCCGCGGAGCGGCGCAAGCACCGGCTCGTACTGCGGGAACGGGTGGCGGTCGAGGACCGAGAGTGCAGACTTACCGGCCGCCCGAGCCAGCGCGGCATTTGCCGCCGCGCGGATGGCATTGACTCGGGTGCGGACCGTCTCCCATGCCTCGTCGGCAGATGTAGCAACCACCAACGGGATCCACACGGCGGTCGCCACGTCATCCGCACTCACCCTTGGCGCCGCGAGAGCAGCGGCGAGCGCAGGCGTTGCTCGGATCGAGATGCGGTAGAGTGGCGGAGCGACAGCCCACGGCTGCGGAGTCTCGGCTGACGGCGCCGCCGATGGCGCCGCGAGCGCGCGAGCACGGCTGGCGGCCACCGGCGCAGTGACCGCGCTGCCGGGCACGAGCACAAGCGCCGAGTCAGCGGCGGCGGCAGGGTGAGCCGGGACCGGGGCCGGAACTTCAGGCGGTGCCACCACGCGCCAGACGGCGGTCATGGGCTCGGCCGCATTGTCGTCGCCGAGATGGCGCGCGACAACGTCGCAGCGGTACTCGGCGCGAGCGTTGACATTGACAACCGACCAGAATGGGATGAGGGCGGTGTAGTTGGCGGGCGTGATGGTGTCGCGCGTGTACCAGCTCGGGGCGTCGACGACGGCGCCGACGCAGACCACAGTGACAGCGCCGATGCGGAACGGGACGTTGGCATGCGGCGCGGCGGTGACACGGTGGAGTCGGGCATACTGCGCGAGCGCGGCGTAGGTCGGCGATACGTACATGCGGCGGCGGATGGAGAACTGCGGGTGGTCGACCAGCGCGTCGGGCGACGTTGGGTCATAGACAACCCGAGCGCGACGCTTCTTGCTCGCGGCGGCGTGCTTGCCGCATCGGACGACCCGCGTGCCGAGCGAGGGCACGTATGCCAGCTCGGCGTCCGAGGCGACGGCACAGCCAAAGTGGTACGACACGCGGCACGAGGCGTACGAGCAGTTGAGCGTCGCCCGCTTGCGGCGGCAGACCGTGCAGCTTTGCTTGTTGGCCTTGCGCGCTGTCGGCCAGAGGTCGTGCAGGACGCCGAAGCATTCACGGACGCCCGACGACCAGAGCGCACATGCAGCATGGACCCAGGTCGAGCCCATCATGTGCAGCAGTCGGCCCTCCATAGCATCGGACCGGTCGCCAACGCCGCTGCACAGGTAGCATGTCCGGGTCTCGGCAAGCAGAGGCGGCGCGACGTGACCAAAGACGGTCGTGCCGGTGCGATGCGGCGAGTCGGCGGCCTCAAGAGTCCGGGCCACCTTGGTCGCCCGTGGTGGCGAGCTCGCCTCTGCCTTGACCGGCGATGACGCCGGCGATGACGAGAGCGGGCGGGGCGAGAGCGAGAGCTCCGATGCCTCGGAACCGGCTGCATCGCCAAGTGCGCATGGCGGCGGTGTGGCCGGGGCGCGGCAGCTATTGGAACCGGTGAGTGGAGCTCGCGACCGGGTGCCGCCGACGCAGCTACCACGTCCATGCCAATCGGGTTGGAGGCAGCGGCAGCAGCGGGCGGAAGGCCAGCAAGACGGCGCTGCGCCAAGGGTGGCGGCGATGGCAGCAAGAGTTCGGTCTTGACCAGCGCGGGCTTGGCGATGACGATCAGGCGGAGCGGAGCATTGTCGTCCGGCAGCAGACGCGCGCTCGACCAGGTGAGACGGGTAGCGGGAGCGGGCTTCTTGGCGGGTTCGGCCGTGGCGAGGACGGTGATCGGCTGCGGGCGGTGATTCGGTGGGATCGATGAGGTCAGCCACCAGCACTCGGCATCGGGCGGGCGGCACTCTGGGCACTCGTAGGGAACGTCGTCCTCGGCAAACGGGCCCTCGTAGAGCGCCGGTGAGATGGCGTCGCACTCGATGTGGACCCAGCCCTCGCAGGCATTGCACGAGACCATGGCGACGTCATAATCGTCCTTGTCGTACGTTCGCTGGCAGCCCTTGCAGTAGTGGCCGGCGGCGCGGGCGGCAGTGCACGGCTCGCAGAGCAGCGGGTTGTCCTTGTGGCCAGCAATGGGCGAGACTAGGCGAGCCAGCTCGACCGAGCCTGGACAGGCTGCGCACTGTGGCTCGCAGCCGGCACAAAGCCACAGCGTGTCTGGCACGGCCTTGAGCGGCGGGCGGAGACAGTACGTGTGGAACGATCGCTCGCAGCGCTCGCAGACCAGCAGCGAACTCCCGTTGTCGTCGTTGGTGCAGACAGCGCAGACCTTGCACGCCTCACACCGCCATGTAGAGCGCGCATACGGCGGGATGGCCTCTGGCGGCGGATCGAGACAGAAGGAATGAAAGGCGCCTGCGCACTCGACACAGATCAGGACGGCCGGCGGAGAAGCATCGGCGCCACAAGCCAGACAGAAGAGGGCAGGAGCATGCGGATGAGGAGCAGATGGCTTATGAGAAGAGCAAAGCAGTTGCGGCGAGAGACTAGCTGCTGCAGTCGTCAGCGAATTGTTCGGAAGAAGTACCTGATGGGCATCAATGCGTGGGCTGGCGGTCGGCAGTGCCGCAAGAAGTTGGCCCCGGTTCATAGCCGTATGAATCTACGG